GTTAAACTGCAAGCTCTACTTCCACTATAGTATAATTGTACACAAACTGTGCTGCAGCTGTAGTTTGGATAGATTCCAACTGTACTCCAACTGTACTCCAGCTGTACTCCAACTGTACTCCAGCTGTACTCCAACTGTACTCCACCCGTACTCCAGCTGTACTCCAATTTTTTTTTGAAGTAGAGTGAGTCTCGCTTTTTCCCCCTTGATACTCACACCCACACCCCACCCACACCCACACCCACACCCACACCCACACCCACACCCTTACTTTAATTTGTTTTATTATATAAATATATAAATAATTGATAAAATAAGATAATATATCAAATGTAAAATTAAAAATCAATATGATAAATATGTTTTTAATATATATTAATATAAAACAAATTGAATCCAGTATTTGTCGAAATTTCAATGAAAGTAAGAGAGATAATTAATAAATAAAATAAAAATTGAAAAAAAAAATTTTCATAAATAAATATAGAATATAATTGTTCAAAATATAAAAATGATTCTGAAATAATAAAATCGTTTCCATATATAATACATATAAATTCATATCTTCAATATTCAACAAAGACATATGCATTAAGTAATGATAATAAATATATTTATTATATGAATATAGCTTATCAAATATATATTCCATCAAGTATTTTTTGTTTTAAATATTTATCAAAATTAGAAATTCGTAATACAAGTTTTTGTTATATTGATAAAGAGTTTCAATTCGAAATAAATAATTATTCATCATCAATTATTCATTTAGCGATTTATGATACAATAATTAATTATCTATCAGAAAATATTGTTAAATTAAATCGTCTTAAAACATTAGAATTATCAAATATTAATTTAATGTCATTACCAAATTCAATTCGAAATTTATCTTCATTAAATTTTTTATCATTACCTTATAATAAATTAGAAACTTTACCATCAACAATTAAAAATCTTAAATATTTATCAAACATAAATTTAAAAAGAAACGAAAAACTTTCTTCAATAGAATCATTAAATGGTCTTAAATCTCTTGAAATATTAGATGCTCGACACTGTTCAATTCAACATCTTCTTCTTCATTTATCTGATTTAACTAATTTATATATGACAAATAATTATCGTACTGATCTTTATGGAATTAAAACATTAGGTTATGATAATAATTCGAAAAAATATTTTTATTTTGATTATTATTTTATCCAATTAATTCCATTAAATATTTTTTATGTTAAAAATCTTTATTGGTTAAATCTTAATTATAATCGATTAGATAATTTACCTATGACCATTTTTAATATAAATACACTTTCATATTTATACATTCCACATAATAATTTTTGTCATGGAGAACTAAAATCAATTGCTTATCATTTCAAACATACAAATCCCAATTTAAAATTATTTTATCTTAATAAATTCCAATCACTAAAACCTTGTTCAACCTAAACGTTTCATCTTTAATGAACTTTGTTTCATTTTATCTAAACAGTGTACAAAATAACACCAAAGATTTTGTTTTTCTTTTCAATTTACTTCGTTTAGAAAATCATATTAATTGATTAAAATAGTTGTGTTATCAATATAATTTGTTCTTTTGTATAGATTAAATGTTTATTTTCTTTTGTTTCATATCATATTAGATTAATAGATTAAATTTAATCTATTTTGACTGATAAACAATCGAATTAAAATTGCTGCACAGTATTCTGCCGATTATTTAATAAGCAAAAAATTTGTCAAAAATAAAATCTTTAGTTTATAACAAAACTAAAACAATCGTTTTCTTTTTCTTTTATTCTATTGATTGTTTCAGATATTGCTATTTGTGATGTTTGGCATGTTTATATATCTATGAGTGACCAGCCAAAGGGTACCCGGATTCTTATTTGTTTATGTAGCTTCAATCAGTTATCAGAAAAATGTGATTTTTTAAAAACAATTATAGTACATGTATGATGATAATGATCTGTTATTGTTTGATAACTATTATCTTTTTAAAGGCAGAAGTTTCAACAAAATAAATTATCAAGAACAAAGTTTTATTATCATATAGTTAATGAAGAAATCCAACATGAAATCTCACCATAACTACCAATGGCTCTGCAATCTTGATCAATGGCGATGAGACATGGATGTTGTCCATGAACTATATACACAGGCGTTAGTGGCTAAGCGCTGGTCAATCAGGTGTAGTAACCTCTAAGACTGATCTACATCCAAAGAAAGTGATTCTGAGCGTGTAGTGGAAAGTCAATGGGATTATTCATGGAGAAATTCTTCCGAATGGTTGCACCATAACTGCTGGTCTCTACTCTCAGCAATTGGACTGGGTTACCGAGAAATTCAAGGGAAAGTAGAATCGAATTTACTATTTGCTTGATAACGTGAGACTCCGTGTTGCAAATCGACGCGCAAAAAAATGATTGAAGCTCTGGTGGAATACTGTTTCTCATCTACATTTATTTTTCTGACATGGCTCAGATAGTAGTGGTATATATATAATTAAAAGCTAGTTCTATTGTTGAAGTTGAAACATAAAAAGAAAATTTTTGCAAAAGAAAAACGCAAAAGATTTGTTGCAAACCTAATATAACGGGTGATGCAAAAGTTTTTCCACAAATGTCCCTCCATTTTTCATCTATTAAAAGACGTTTTGGAAAAATGAAAAATATCTATTCATAATCTAAATCGAAAGAGCGTTCTAACTGTTTGTTCAAATTTTTGTTTTTATCGTGTCTTGCCTCTGAGTACCAATCACATCTTTGGATGGCAGTAAAAAGTAGCTTGTGAGGATTAGATAATGAGCCTGCTCCTAAGCATATGCCAATCCACGTTTTTTTTACCAAAGAATCTTTCAGAAAAAATAGGAATCGCTTTTCATGTTCTACATTTGAAGAGCTTTCTCACTACGCACTAAAAACTTTTTAATCGACTTTGACTTCTGAGAAGTGACCGAATCTTTAAACGATACAAAAATTTGATCTGAAAAGGAAAAAGAGCTTTTCCTTTCGGATAAGCGTAGAACTACAAAGTTGTAACTAGAATTATTTTGGACTATGGACGCTTGTAGAGCAGATAATTTTCTAAAGAACGACGTTTTGAAACAGGTTATATCACAAATGAATTCGAATTTATCGTCATTTCTTCAAACATTATGTTTATTTCGCTGGAAACACTTTCTCAAAACAAAACTTAGGATTTGAATAATATAAACATTTGCTCGGTTGGTACTACAAAAAAATAATCAACAACACCTCATTTTGTTGAAAAATATCTGTTCTATAATCTGTTAGGCAGGTCACAGTTTGATCTTTCAATAAAAGTTGTTTTCGTCAAAGTTTGAATAGATGTACGAACTGTTTTCTTCTTTAAAAACTACCGTTTAATGCCATTCAAAGGTGAGCTTGTTACTCAAAGACAGAGGACGATAATAAAATTTTGAACACATAGTTAGGAAGCTCTTTCGACATCATCATCATAAGTTTTCTGCTCTTAAGAAGGTTCTTAGGATAACAGTTATACCTTTTACATCTTATAGTTTTCTTCATTCTTTCCTATCGTTAGCAAGCCTTTTAAGGTACACATACCCATCTTCCTTTTCTAATTCATCTAGCACTTTCATTCTCTTTCTTCCTCTCTTTCTTTTACCACTTACTGTTCCTTCGATGATGTCCTTTAGTAAGCTATCTCCTCTAAGAGCATGGTCTATCCAATTTCTTTTCCTAATTCTTATTCTTTCCATCAGAGTCCTCTTTTCTCCTATTCTTTCCAAAACCTTTACATTACTCACTTTATCCTTCCAACTTATCTTTCAATTTTTTTTTCCACATCTACATTTTGAAAGCCTCTAACTTTTTTTTTTCATACTCCCTCAATGTCCAAGTTTCATCACCATACAAGAGCACACTCCAAACAAAACATTTCCCTAATCTCTTCCTCAATTCCTATTCTAAAGATCCACACAAGATCCTTTTCATCCTTGTAAACGCTTCCTTTGCAATCCCTATTCTTGCCTTCACATCCTTTTCACATCTCCAATCTTCTGTTAAGAAACTACCTAAATATGTAAAGCTGTTAACCTGGCTCACTCTTACACCATCTATATGTAACACAATATCCTCTTCACTTCTTACGCTCATTACCTTAGTTTTCTTTGCATTAACTTTCATCCCATATGCTTTACATGCTTCTTCTAGCATTTCAATTGATATTTTTAAACCTTTTTGATCTTCTACTAACACTGCCATGTCATCTGCAAATCTTACACAGCAAACATTTCTTCCGTCAATCATAACACGCTTCATTTTCACTTCTATTTCTCTTATCATTTCCTCTAGATAAATATTAAATAGTATAGGGGATAAGCAGCACCCTTGCCTCACTCCTTTACCAGGGTGTGGGTGTAAGTGTGGGTGGATGTGGGTATGGGTGTACGTGTGCGTTTGGCTGTGTGGGTGTGCGCCTGTGGGTTTACGAGCGATGATAGTAAACATCATGCATATCCATACCATCACATACTCACACACCCACCCACATCTACACCAACACTCGGCACCCACATTCACACCCAAATTCACATTCACACCCATACCCACACCCACACCCACACCCACACCCACACCCACACCCACACCGACACCCACACCCACACCCACACCCACACCCACACCCACACCCACACCCACACCCACATCCACACCCTCTCTTATGCTCCACACAAACACACCAAGGTGTCTTGACAAACACCCACAGAACTCTATAATTTACATTCTGGCGCGAATAAGTGCTACCCTTGTATCACTTTTCCCGATAAACTTTTCTCTGGAAACATCTCATCAACCTTTGCCCTATCAACAAAAGTCAATTTTCGTCAGAAAAATAAAAATTGAGATTAATGCATAGGAAGATAGCCCGTGCTCTGTTCTTCCAGAAACAGTACGATTTTTAAATCGACACCCCTCTTTTGGTCAAATTTTTGATGATTTCTGTTATTTACTTCTTAAAAAAAAAGCTTTTTTTCCAGCCGGTGAGATCTAAGGGATGTTTCCAGAGAAAAGTTTATCAGGAAAAGTGATACAGGGGTAGCACTTATTCGCGCCAGAATGTAGATTATAGAGTTCTGTGGGTGTTTGTCAAGACAACTTGGTGTGTTTGTGTGGAGCATAAGAGAGCTCTTGGGTGTTAGTAGATGTCTATAGACATATTTAGGTCAATTTTATATGTTTCCAGAGGGAAGTTTGTTAAGAAAAGTATTTCAAGGATGGCACTTATTCGTGTCAGAATGTAGCTTATGAAGTTCTGTGGGTGTTTGTCAAGACAAGTTAGAGTGTTTGTGTGGACCATAAGAGAGATTCTGGGTGTTTGTGTTGAGAGGGGTCATGTTTTGGTCTTTGTTGACGGTTTATTTTTTCTAGGACTCTTGCAAAGTGGGTGTTTGTCGGTGTTTGTGTGCATAACTGTCCAAGATGTGGGTGTTTGTCAAGATGACTTATATGCGGTTTTACAAAGTTGGGTGTTTGTGCTGTTTGCATAAATTAGTAATACCCAAAATAGCATAACATTACTCTTAAAAGGTTTTGTGTAAATCAGAGGGTGAAACAACCTAAAACAAGTCGTATTGATAATTTCATTTTTGATGTAGATGTGTTTATGTAGGTAAATATTATCTCAACAAAAAAGACACAAAGTAAATTACCTTCAAAACCTTGAATGACATTGTCATCATTAATAAACGTCTTTAGCCATTGTAAAACATCATCTGAATTCATATTCATTGGTTTTATAGTTGAATAAGACAAATAATGCAAATAAAATCATCCAATCAACTGGATCTAAGATGAGAAATACGAATTTTAATAAAAATCAAGTCCGAATTTAAAAAAAGTGAAAAAGCCATTGTTTGATATGTAATTTTATAAAGCAAATCTATTTAAATCATGATTGTAAGCAACACATTATTGTACGCTACTTAGCAGTAAAGCACTCTTTAGAAAAAACAACTTCAGCTCTACAATAAATACAATGACGAAGGCATTTATTCAAATAGAATGTAATGGAGTTGATGCCAAAAAAAAATCTAATTCTCTGCTCTGTGAAAAAACAGTAGACGTTTATCCTGTATTTTATCAATCATGACATAGTACTGATAAAAAGATGATGAAATTTTTCATTGAGAGTCAAAATAATAAACGTAAATAGTAGAACTAATATACCTATATAATTCTTTAGCGAGATTATTATCAAATATTAAGTAACTTCGATGGAATGATGATCTTTATGAATTTGATTCCAAAACGAATAACAAGAATAAATGTAAACGGTAGAATCAAAGAACCTTTCTAGCTGTTTAACAATATTATTATCGACTGCTAAGTATTTTCAATGGAATGGTGATTTGTTTCAAATCTAATTCGAAAACAAATAGCACGCAAACACCTTCAAAACATTAAATCAGTAGAAAAAAGTTCATTCCGTCTTTATGTTTCATGTAAATAAAAACAAGTAACATTCTCCATCGTCGACTGTTGTCGTGTGACTAATCTATAAAAACGTATAGCGAAAAGAAAATAAAATAAAAACGATGAGAAAATGGTTCTGTCCAATTATTCTAAACCGTTTCTGAAAAAATAGTTTCGCTCCGAACTTTTTCAAATCAAGTCATCACAACAAGTACTCTATACATCTTTTTTTCAAAGCTTTTCGCATCCCTTATTTGGAGTGAAACATTGAAAAGTTCTGTAGACTATGAGCACTTTTTTGTTACTCAGCACCATTGAACAAAATCTTTTCGCGCTTTGTATCACCGGAGAAAAACCTTTTGAAAATCCGCATGATAGGACAGAACTTTTTTGACTCAATATCGTCCAAAGAAAAACTTTTTTATGTTCAGTATTAATCGGCAGAACCCTTTACGATTCGATATTGTTGGACAGAATCCCTTCGGTTCAATATAATCAAACGCAGAACTTCGTAAGGTTCAGAAATTAAAGTACAGAACCTACGATAGTTTCGCAATGTATGGCAGTACCTTTCTGGTTTTGTGTTACATGACAGAGAACTTTCTACTGTTCAGGTTTTGACAGACAGAACCCATGAGGGTTCAGTATCCTCGGACAGGACCTTTTTCGTTTTGTATAGTCGAACCGATAAATATATATAGCTCAGCATTGGTGGGCAAAACACTTCGAAGTTTTGCATTTGTAAGACAGAACCTGATGAGTTCAGTACCGCCCAACAAACAACCTTGTATGGTTTAGCATTATATGGCAGAATCTTTTCTGGTTCTGAGCTTATAGACAGAACTTTTTATAGTTCAGCATCATTGGACAAAACTCTTCATGGTTTTCCACCTGCCCTGCGGAACTTTAACTAGTTCAGCAAGTGCTACAGAACCAAAAATAGTTCTGCAAAACTCCTTTTTTTCTTTCAGAGTAAGAAATCATTTGGTATTCATTTCAAATAATAATAAAACACTGTTGTGTTACTTTGCATACGTTCATTCCTTTATTTACTGATATGCTAAATATGGACGATATTTCGAACAAAACGTGAGATTTCGGTAAATCATAAGGTTTTCAATAGTTGATTCATCAAGAGCAACCAATTCTGCGTCAATCCATACATAAGTCAATACTATACATCCCCTTCTTTAAATGAAATTCATATAATATCAGGTATTCAACCGTTTGAATTAGAAACATGAGGGCTAGTAAGGTCGAGTTTCGGGCTATTTTTCATTTGAAATGCCACCTATTTGGAGTCGATACAAAATTTCAACGCGAATCGGTTGGTTACACAAAGAAATGATTTTAAATTTCGGACGGGTGGGTAGATAGGTGCGTTGCGGATCTACTCTTCAGTCACTTACCTATTCATTCACTCGTATCATTTTTCATATCCACAGTCCTGCGTTCGTTCTGAAGGTACTTCTCAAATAATGCTATGTATCCTCTAAAAACCTTCGTATTGTAGGAAACTCGTAAAGCGCTTCGGATAGGAGCATTTTCAGACATCCTCAAGATTTTTCGAAAAAATTGCAAACCGTTTCTGTAAATCGAAAATCTTGATGAACTCTAGAAGCTTTTTCGAAATTTCCAAGCCCTATTAGCAATTTCACAAAAGTTTTCAAGGGTTGACGAAATAAATTTGGAACTCTTTCCGACATAATAATGTTGGGAAGCTCGTTCTTTGAATTTTACACAAAAGACAACGGTTTTTAGAGTGCACCTACTCATATTATGTTTGAATATAACACAATACCGTTACTTTAGGATCGATTTGATGAACACCAATGACATAGCTTTCAGATTGAAACTGGAGAAAAAGTGATGATGTTTGTGAAAATTGCATTTGCTATAAAAACGCTTATTTACACTGCTGCCGTTCACTGAAAGATAATATGTCAGAATCGTCATAAAAATAACTTATTTTTCTCAGTTTCGCAATAAACGAGCCACGCACCAATTTTCAAGCATTTCTTCGAATAACTATCCATGTGCTAATGATTTTTCATTGAAAGTCCAGCAAGAAGAAACATACTTTCACTTAAGCCACCTATCATCTTTGGGCTCCACTGAAAGAAAAAACAACTTTGTAAATGCTAAAGAAATAGGTGAATACAAGTGAGTACTAAAAAATCTGATTCCATCAGGGTGTACAAGAAATGGTAGATGCGTGGGTGTACGTTTGAAGCACGCTCACATACCCTCATTCCAGTAACGATTTGGTGGAGCATGTTTGACTCCGTTATTTTCTTATCTTTATAAGTAGAGTGTTGACAGAGAAATTTGCTTATCGACAGGACGCTATAGACATGACACGTGTCTTTATTTTTTTCTTCATTACAAAAACGGTTGAGATCGTAACATGTTGTATTCACTTTTATGCTGACAAGGCTTTTTTTCTCGAGCTGTTCAAACGTCTGGAAATAGTAGAGATGATCTTCCTTCATTTTTTTGAGTAATTCAGTACTGTAATTTCCTATTCTACACTTTCTCGAACCCTTTTATCTAACACGAATATTTTGACCATAAATACTACGACAAAAATGAAATAAAACTATATATATATATCATTATATTATGATGGGTACTAACTATAGTTTTCTATGCTCTCCTTTACTCAATTTCTCAGAGTCGTATACTAATTTGTTTCTGACTTTAAGTAAGATACATGTTTTTATTCCCAAATTTACTGCACATACTGAACAACAAACATTTGACAGCGTACTACTGGTAATCGTCGAATTTCGTTGAATCTGTCTATTTCATTCATAAATCTGATTAGACTATTCTTTGTCCATCCTCCCCTAGTCAAATAGTATTTTAACTTTACTGGTAGACAAGAAATAAGAACGATTCGATCTCGTAGGTGTTTATAATCCTCATTCATATATAGTGTTTTTACTTTTCTATTACTTCTATTGATTCTTTTTTCTTTTATCATTCAGTATTCGATACTTATTTTTTATATAAGAAACCATCAAGTTTTACTCATAGACTCTGCACTTGCAGAAGTTATTTTCTTCTCAATGTGCGCTACGATCTCACTCAATTCGAATATATTCATTGGTAAATTGGAGCGTGCGTTTGTCTCTTCACAAATAAAAATATGACAATATAAAAAGCACAGCGCGATTATGTTCGATCCTCTTTCGCTCTATTGACACATAAATCTTTTATTATTCCTACCAGTTACTCACTCCGGTCGAGCAGCAAAACGGAAATTTTGAAGAGTAGAATATTTTCGAAAATATATTACATAACAAAAATGTGATGAGCAAGTCGTAGGTAAGTGAATCATTTTTAACTGATAATTTCAATATGTGTGATTGTGAATCAAAAAAATTGTACTCGTGCAAAACTATGCAATCTATTAGACAATGAAAAACGGGTTGAGATGTGATTTGAGTTTTATTCCAGATGAAAAAAACATAATATTTTGACTCTTTCAAAACTTCTCTTTGTTGCAAAAGAATTCTTTTTTCTTCTCTCCAGAAAACATGGTTATATCAAAATATGACTTTGGATAAATATTTTTTTTCTCACATGTAAAGAGAGTCTTCATAACACAAACTGTGATGCACATGTGAGAATAGTTGTTCAATTGCATAATTTGAAAGTGCAATATTTTAAGTGATGAATTAATGGATTTCACTAAGGAAGGAAAAACGGATTATAACTTAGTTTAATTGTGAACTCATGAGATCTATCTACTCAGAGGATTTATTAGTTTTTTAATGTTTCGGTTCTGTTAAGAGTCCCAAATGTACTAGAAAAAACTGTATATTCTCATTGATTTCTGAATGTCGTGGATTTGAATGAGTTTTCATATGTGTCTTTTGGGATTTCATTCTATTTCAGTAGGCTTTACTAATCAGTGTGTTCCATCAAGAAGTCTCGCATTTTTCTACTTTTGTATGTGCCTGAAAACTCATGAAACGCAAACAATGTGCTTTTTCTTTTTTGCATTTCACTAAAAATATTATATGTGTACTTCACTAATACGATCTATGATTGCTTCTTAAATGAAACATGCTTGTTAATGAATTCTTTACACAGAGTGTGACAGATAAGTTTATATAAAAGGACAACAACTATGCTTTCAAATTTTTTTAAGAGGCAGTGAAAATTTTAATTAGTGCACGACATCATGGATCGAAACGGTAACAAACATATATGTAGTCAATGCATCAATCTTGCGAGCGATTATCGTGCTCTCTTCATCAAAATGTTTCTCCTCACTAGACGAAACCTTGGTCAGACAATAGCTGAAATTCTTCTTGCTTGTATATTTATGGGCCTTCTACTCGCCATGCGTTCTGTTCTCAATCGTGATTTCAATGCCACCTATCAAATACCACGCTTCCGTCCACAAGATACAATGTTATTTAGTGGGTTACACGCTAACGTAACCTATTACTATCCTGGTGGGTATACGTGTGTATTCTGATGTTGAATTCGTTATTTTTCTATGTATAGCGAATCCCTGCACGACTGCAATTGTCACCAACACTATCACTCAATTGTCAACTCGATGGTCCGCATTTCCTACTGCCGGTTTGTAGTCATGATATTCTTGATTTTGTTCCCATCAAACGATGATGCCGTCTCATATTTAACTTTACGCAGTTAATTGGTAGTCTGCCAATGGCTCTTTCTTTAGAAAAAATGCTTGAGGGTAGTTAGGAGATAAAAGTCATTTTGTAAAGAGGTACTCTTTTTTCAATTCATGACGTGTTCCATTTGGAAAATTTCTCCGTACGCCACTACATATAAGTCTCTTTATTGCAGTACAAAATCTTTCTAATCCAAACATTTCTTCACTATCCAATATGACACAAGCGACAATATATGCCTTTATCCATTTTACAAATCTTGACTCTTGTACCAATCCGTCCACAATGCCAGATGCAATAGCCTATACTCTACGCATGCCCGAGTATGTTGAAATATGTTTTTTTCTAATTCTATAAAAATAATTCTAATACATAGAAATGGTTCATATTATTATCGTGCTCAATCAGTAAAGATTGATCCAAATATTTATCGATGGAAACGTGCTCCCGAAGATTTTTGTCGAGGTATCTGTCATTTGTTTTATTTTTGTGTCTCTACCGATCAATGTCGTCTTGTGTTTAGATACTAGTACGACTACTATGTATACTTCTCAATTTTTGGGCATTCAATATTTTATTGATTTGTCAATAATTCAATATTCGACAAACATCAGTCAAGATCCATCGAGTGTAAGTAAATTTTGTTTGTTCATTTTTATTTGTATCGATCGAAAATAAAATGATTGTAGATATTCATGAATCATTTCGGTTGTCCTGCACATTATTATGATACATTTCAATCAGAATTCGGATTTTTTATTCCAATTTTATTTTCACTTACTTTTATGATGACATTCATGTTGAACGTTGGCTACATTGTTGAAGAACGTCGAAATAAAGCCAAAGTAACGTAAAACACTAAGACGAAGCGATTAAAAGATTTTTTTCTCACGATATGATTGAACTATATTCAGGAATATTTACGTATATTCGGTCTTCGCACTTGGGTTAACAATTTAGTATGGATCACTCGTTCGATGTGTATCTATATTGTGCTAAGTAGCATTTTAACCGGATTTAGTGTACTTGTTTTATCAAGTTCGAATGCAACATCAACAAGTGTTGACAAAGCCGTATTTAATTATGCTCATTGGACATTGATATGGACGATTTTATTCGTTTATTCTATTCAATTGTCAAGTTTTAGTATATTTTTTGGACAATTCTTTAGTCGTCGTAAGTAGCCTTCTTTTTTTCTGTTCATCTTTTTTAACAGAAGCATTGTTTTGTCGTTGAAATGTTACAGCTTTATTAGCAAAATTTCTTGCTTTTACCATATGGATTTTAACTTTTATCGATTTTTATATTGGAACACCGGTTGTCGTTCGATATTTAATGTGTCTGTTTCCCAATACTGGTCTCTTGTTTTGTTTGGAAGTTATTCAACAATACGAACGGAAAAGTGGTTAGTTACTTTTCTTGAACTGTGCATACATATAAACGAAGAATATTTCTAAATTTTATTTCTTCCAGTCGATATGGCTACATTCAGAGATCTTTATTCGAATATATTTACTTATCCACTATACATCGGTATTTGTCTTCTTCTTATGATTGTCTATTCCATTATCTATATGGTTTTGGCTGTATATATTGAACGTATTAATCCGGGTCAATTCGGTATATCACAACCATTCTATTATCCATGTTTCAGAAAAACTAAGAAAACTTCGTCAACAGTACCGATTAGTTATTATGAAGAGAATGGTTGGTCATCAATGAACAAAACAAATACTAAGATTCATGAACATAATCATTGGATCGAGATGGATTCAAATATGAATAAAGTTTGTCCATTGATGCGTATAAAACATTTAACAAAAGTAGACTATTTGATAGTTTCATTTTTTTCCCATATTTATTGATTCGTCGATAGAAATTTGGCAAATTGACAGCTGTCTCAGATTTTTCTTTTGATTTTTATAAAGGTGAAGTATGCGCATTATTAGGACACAATGGTGCAGGCAAAACAACGATTACATTTATTCTCGTCGGTATGCTGGAAGCTACATCGGGTTGTGTTATTTTGCAGGATCTGGATCATCGAATACATATTCAACAAACTCGAAAAATGATCGGTTTTTGTCCACAATACGGTATAAATCGATGAAATTTTTTGTATAAAAAAATCAGAAATGAATATTCCCTTTTTATGGTCAGATATTCTATACGATAAACTATCTGTTCAAGAACATTTGGAATTGCTTGCACAAGTATATCGTCAGAATCAATGAATTGCCATTGTCAATTTTCATTATCAACATTTGTAGATACGTCATTTAGATCGAGCGACAATCAATAAATCGATCGATACTATTCTAGATTTGATCGGACTTGTAAATGATCGACGTACACTTTCGAAAGATTTGTCCGGTGGTATGAAACGTCGTTTGTCGATTGGAATCTCTTTAATAGGTGATCCAAAAGTAAGTCAAATCAATTGATGAGCAAAGAAGCATCATGTCACGTTTCATATTGTTCTCTGGATTCTAATCGGGTTCTTGAAAGAGTATAGCATTTCGAAATGTTACTTGTGTGCCGAAAATACAATACATCTACATTTTGTTTTTGTTAAATACAGGTGCTCATTCTCGATGAACCGACCAGCGGCATTGGTAAGTCCTATCGATTGTTAACGAGTGAACTAGAAGTAGCTGTACTCATGAGTTATTGAAAATGAAAAGTAAACAAATTTTTTTTTCGGTCTCGTACTACAATGACTACTGTTCATCTAAAAAAAAGTGAAAATCTTTGACTTAACTACTAGAGATGATCTTTTACTAGGCCAACGATCAATTACTCTCAAATAGCAATTAAATCGAAGATTTTCACTGAATTTCTTGGATTCCATTCTAAAGAAGACAGAAAATTTTTTTTTGCAAAAAAACTAACAAATTTTGGAAAATTTCCAAATGTCACTGATAGAAGTTTCGCAAAAAATTAGCAAGTTATTGTTCATCTACACACAACATCATCACAGCTTTATAATGAAAAAAGGACGGTTTGCATGAAACCAACGTTTTTTTTAAATTGGTCTCATTTTTGCAGACCTTTAACAGAAATGTTGAGTTAATCAATTTTCACTGGTCATGCATACATGTAGTTAATTTCTTGTTTAAGATCCTTACAATCGTCGTCTCATTTGGACGATCATTCAAAAAATGAAAGATGCTGGTAAATGTGTTATTCTAACGACTCATTTTCTTGAAGAAGCCGATATTTTATCCGATCGAATTGCGATTATGAGTCATGGTCAATTGCAAGCGAGTGGCACACCCGATTTTCTCAAGAAACAAACAGGTACAATTTCATATATGAAAAACAAAAGAATTTCAATGATATTTAAAATAAATTTCAGAATATGAATATCGACTTTTTATTGACAAACAAGACGTGTGCAATACTGAAAGTGTTGCTCAATTTATTCAACAACATGTTCAAACAGTCGTCTTAGAACGTGAAACATCATCAGAACTTGTTTTTGGAATTAAACGTGGTGCAACACAAAATATTGGTCGATTGATTCGTGGTCTCGACGAACAATGCCAACAACTTGCTATCAATGGTTATGGTTTATCGATGACAACTATTGAAGAAGTCTTTCTCAGGTTCATAATAACAGATGTTCCATAAAGGTTTGAATTCTTATAATTTTGTCGCTAACTTTGTAAGCATTCATTGCACTGAATCATGATTTATATCGAAAAGTGCACCGGTTGATTCTTTACAAATCTGTATCAAATATTCTAAAATCAAAAGTTATCACAGAACATAATTATGGATTGACGTTTGACGCATAGTTAATTAAAATATTTTGTAAAATAATACTTTGTTAAAAATTCTTACAGATTTTGAAACAAATTTGATCATGCGTGTTTCATAAATAGCTTTTAGACGTCTTCAGTTGATGAGCGAAAGTATTTCTTGTTTATATTGGACACTTATAAGACATATGCAAACATCAAAGCTTATCAGGATTGATCGAATTATATATTACTTATATCAAATAAATGCCTTTAATTCGAATGCCGCTTTTAGAAGTTTCTGTGAAACTTTAGCTCATATCACTTAAATATAAAGCTACACAGAATCACTATATCATTCAAGAAACAAAGAATCTTTGTAGTTCAATTTTGTTGTAATATGACTCGAAGTTCTAAAGAAGGATCTGAAAGCGGCGCTTCAATCCTGATTTGCCGAGATGCTCATCACATAGATCTTAGAATTGTCCAATATAGATAGCAAGTACTTTCGCCTATCAACCGAAGACGGCTGAGATATATATATATATAATATATAGGAATGATCAATTTTGTCTCAAAATTTGTAACAATTTTAACAAAGTATCATTTTACAAAATATGTTAATTTACTGCGTGCCAAATTTCCATTCATAATCTTTTGTAAGAGCTCTTAGTTTTAAAATATGTTATGCAGATTAGTAGAGAATCAATTGCGGTACCATTTAATATAAATCATGAGTCAAAGCAATGCAAGTTTACAAAATTATCAGTAAAATTATGAGAGATCCATTCTCTATGAAACACTTGTTAGATATTATTTGTAAAAAAAAGATCATTTCTAAACTGATAATCATCTTATCTCCAATGACAGTCATTTGTATGTCTTCAGTTTAATCATTAACTGTTGTATCGAAATTTTAGGCTTATTCAAGAAGAAGAACAAGTAAAAACTGAACATCATAATCATGATAGACGAGTCGACAAACAGGATCTAGCAAAAAATAGTATGTATTGTTTTTTTGTCAATATGTCAACTGTAAATAGGAATGTAGGTAAATTTTGATATTAATCAATATTTAATCCAAAAATAAAACTTTTAAATTTAAAAGTTCTTGTCATTTTCAATAGATTTCTAACTGTGGATATTTTTTAAAAGAATATTTTCGCTACTATACTCATTCACAGTTGTTTTTTATCAGAATGAATCTATTGATATTCGTTAATTTTTCAGTGTTTTCTGTACATTACAATCACACGTCTGGTATTCGTCTCTTTTGTACTCAAGTTTTGGCATTGTTTGTAAAACAATTGATTCTTACTCGTCGACAAATTTCGTTTCTTGTCGGCTTTTTTCTAATACCAATCTTTCTCGAAATTTTAACTGTAGCCGTTTTACCGAAACCAAAAACTATTGAAGCGTCGATGTTACAGAATGAACGTGTAGTAGACGCTCAAGTTCAATTATATCCATCTATCTATAATCCACATACTGTTATCACCTATGCCAATAATAACGATAGCAATGTTCATTCGCGTCTTATTACCTATTTGACAAATACGAACGCGACTATCAAACAAATATCTACAAATACAATTGTCAACGAAGTTGTATCTCAGTGGAATAAATCCGAAGACATATTTGTAAATAAATATCAGATGGGCTTTGATCTTTTTAATAATTTAACATCGATTAATCTATCTTTGATATTTAATGTCTACTTTTCAACTGTAAATTATCATACAATGGCAACAAGTCTTGGTGTTGCTATGACAAGTCTATTTCAATTCTATGCAAATTCATCATCAAAAATGATTACTACTACTAATCAACCGATATTAACTCATGGAGAACCACTTAGTGAAGAAGATCGTTTTTTTCAAATGATTTATTGTTTCGATACACTTCCATTATCATTATTCAATTTTATCAATAGTATTCTTGCGGCAGTATTCATTGGTATTCTTTCATCAAATTCAATTCGTGAACGTTTAACTCATTCAAAAGATCTTCAATTATTGACTCGTTTATCGAAATTTACCTATTGGTTTTCCATGTCCTTATACGATTTTAGTATATGTTTGATTTTATGCACCATATTAACTATTATTGTCAAGGTAAAAGTAACAAATGACAATCGAATTGAGAGTTGTTATCTATTGCTTTAGATCGGTGCCGTGTATCGAGTTAATTCGGGTGCAGAAGTTCAAATCTATGTACCCGATCAGCATATTGGCTATTTTTTTCTAATGTTTGTTCTATATTCCTTAGCATCGTTACCATTTATCTATGTATATTCTTTCATTCCGGGCACGGAATTAATTGGTTTTATTATCTTTTTTATTGTTAATGTACTTGTGTGTTTTCTCGATGTCGTCCTCGGTTTTATCGGGGTATTTTCTGGTAGTCAAGCATTGCCAGACGGAACTCTTGTAAATCGAACAGGAACACTTATGACAAATATTCGTTGGGTCCTATCGGTTCTATTTCCGACAGTCAATCTTAAACATGCTCTATTCAATATTCGCCTACGTTCGAGTGATTCGTGTATTGCAGCAGTGAACTCAGTTATGGGTACAAATTATTCATCGAGTGAGCCGTGGATGTCATTGAATGAACCTGGTCTAGGGATACAATTTTTGATTTTTATTGGTCAAATAATCTTTTGGTGGTTTATTGTTATACTTATTGAAGAATTGTGGAAAATATGTCTAAAGAAAATGCGATACTGTTCTAAACGACAAAAACAAACAGTAACAACAACAATTGAATGGAATGATACAGTAGGCGAATAATACAAACAGGGAAAAACAAGATGATTTCGGATTCTATTTTATTTTGAATAGGAACTTGATGAAGATGTTCGAAATGAACGTCAACTAATTTTGAATCGAAGTCAATTAACAAAATCAGCTGTTGTTATTGTTCGAGATCTTGTACAAGAATTTAAAAAACGAAAAGAAAAATCAGTCGTAAAACGTATTCATAGAGCTGTTGATCATCTCAATTTTTTTGTTTCACCAAGCTCATGTTTTGGTCTATTAGGTAAAGAAGAATAAATTCTTCTTTCCTCTCTATTCTCTTGCAATTATTCAGGAGTCAATGGAGCTGGTAAAACAACGACATTTCGTATGTTGATCAATGATATTCAACCGACATCAGGCGAAGTAATTATTAACCAAACGGTAATTATTACATAGTTTCACAGACAAATTTGAGTTTTGATTTATATATATATATAGAGAAACAATTCTGATATTGGTTATTGTCCACAGTTCGATTGGCTTGTTGAACATCTTACTGTTAGAGAAACATTAACTTTATTTGCTAGGTAAGATTACAACTATTGAAAAGCGATTAAAATCTCGTGAGTGATTTCACCATTGGAATTCGTAATGGTGAAGAATTTTGAAATAGGTTGCAATCGATTGTCATTCAGAATATTTTTCTTTAACATTGAACAAAATTTGCATAGTGATGATTGTATTTTGTAATTAGATTGAAAGGTCTGACATCAACTGATATTGATAATATTTGTATTGGAATGATTCAATGTTTTGGTCTTGATACACACGAAAAACAAGAAGTACAAAAACTTAGGTGAGTATAACGGTAATCTATACAATGATTTTTGATTTTGATGTTATTTCTAGTGGTGGAAATAAGAGAAAACTTAGTGCAGCACTGGCATTCATGGCTAATCCGACATTGGTCTTCTTGGATGAACCCACTACGGTAATACTTTGATAAAGTGTACACATAAATCAATAAAACATAGATGATATTATCATAACATTGTGTTGAAAATGTTTGAAAAACAATAATGATTTCAACATTTGTATGTAGGGTCTAGACGCAGCTGCCAAACGAAAGGTATGGAAGGTGATTCGAGCAGCACGAGATGCTGGTTTGACAATTATCATGACAAGTCACAGGTAGATGAAGAATAATCTTGATTTTGAATAAATACGATTTCTTCTATGAAAGTATGGAAGAATGTGAAGCACTTTGTACTAGTAAGTTTCTCCTTCATGAAAAATAAAATACTCCTACGGATTGTTTGATGATCAACAGAAATCGGCATTATGAAATCCGGTCAATTCCTATGTCTTGGCAGTCTGCAACATCTGAAAAATCGCTTCGGTAATGGATATGCCGTGCAAGTTAAAGTACCAATTGACAAAGTAAATCAACTCAAACATGAACTCGAGCTTAATTTTTCTGGCATCAATATCGAAGGTAAAATATATATTGTTTATGCCTACCTCTGTATCTATGAAAATATTTTAAAAAAAAAGATGAACAGAATGGTATGCTCTATTGTCATATACCGTTATCAGTGTCAAATAAGGGTGTTCACTCAACGACAAATCCATACAATTTGGCATACGTATTCGAATTGTTCAATAAGAAAAAAGACCAGAATGAAGTCGAGAGTTTTTCATTGACTCAAACTACACTTGAACAAATATTTGTTAGTCTCACTGGTCACGAAGACGAGAATGGTGCTACTTTGTCCGACCTAGCGGCAAACGAAAGTGAGTTTCGTACTATTAAAAAATCTTTTTTTTTTCTTCTCGCTTTATACTCGTTGTAGATTCTGCTTAGCAACATCATTCTCTAATTAACACCCTTACTTCGTTTGTAACATAGACTATTTTCATGCGCCACTAATAAATTGAAAATAAAGTCAGTTATTACAATGTAATAAAACATATTAATATTTATTAGAAAAACCTACACGAGTGTGTCATATGGCATATAAAGACATTCATTCTTATTCAATAGCATTTATATGCTATGCAGAGACAACAAAAAATCGATAACCATAATGCCAAACATAGTCACATATGCATTAATCAGTGTCATCTTGAAATTCAACATAATTTCGGTGATCATAATTCTTGCACTGAACTTTGATCTATATATGCAATGCTATTATCAGTGGTAACTATGTAAGAATACAATAAATATTGAAGAGGCCTATTATACTATATTTCGGCTGCACTGTTAAAGTGTTAAAGATTTAATTCGGTTCAATTGCTGTCGCAACTTTCGACGTAAATAGTTGATTTTCAAATTTCGCTTTTTTCATGAATGTGACGATTCTATTATTGATAACATCGTTTTCCGATTGTTGGAAAACTGTTGAGATACTTTTGCCAGATCGAACTAAACTTCTTGATAGGAGCAACAAATTTCTCTATGTATTTTTCCGTATGTGTTATTTGAACTGCAAGCAATACAATGAAGAAACAGCAAGATTTCTGTCTAGCGAAATATCTAGAACCTTCGAGATCCCGAAAGTCTGTCGAAATCTCTGGAATATTCAGAAATTCATCGTAGTCATCGTGCATTCGAACATGTTTAGAAGTCCGATGAAAATACAAGAGAGTCTAATTCAATCGAAAATTCATTTTAGTCTCTATTGTCAATGATTTGATGTGTAAATAAGTGTGTATAGTTGAAAGTGAAAACTAGCGAAAGGTAACCGAACTAACATGTGGCCACTGTTGGAAACGAAAGTATCAATTCAATGCCATACATCAATCAATGAAAGGATAGTAGATAATTTGACTTTAGTATTAGTCAATTTTCTGATGTATTACTCACTCTATGGGTCACTTTTTTTTCTTCTGTCAGAAAAGAATCATGGCATTAACACGGTCAACGAACCGTATGGTCAATGCTTATAATATTCAATCGATAAAATGCAAGAATAAAAGCAATATGTATAAAAAAAAGAAAGCAATGAGCTTCGTTGTCGAATATTAACAGGACATCATGAGTCAGATTTTTCAAAGAAAATTTCAGAATACGACATGAAATTGTGAATGGTTTTCATCTACAATCTTTTAACATTGCGTGTTCAAAGAATGATTCTAGCATTGAATGATTTATGTCTTCATGGATGGTAAGAATTGAAACTAACACCAGATAAAAGTGTTAATTAGTGATTAATGTTACAAATATATTGATGATTCAATCAATAGATATTATTCGGCATTGTTTGATACCATTGAAAATGTTTTAGGCATTATCATAATACAGAATACGTTTCGATTATCTTATATAACTAGACTTCATATCTTTCCATTGCAAGTTGATTTGTCTGAACAAAGCTCTTTGTATTGACAGTATAACGTTCTGAAAGATAATTTCTCCTGCCAATTGGATTTTTCTTAATGCTTACTCAGTAGTTTCATCCGAAGCTGTAGACAGATTGAATGCGGTTAAAAGATTTTATTGATACTAAACAAATGTCACAATTTCTCAATCTTCTTACATTATTACTTCTCAATCAATTGGCATAAAAAAGAACGTCTTTAGAACAGGGTTACGATAAGAAAACAGATGCTTCTGATCAAAGTGACGCCAATGATTATGACTAGGACATTAATTTGACAATTTTTATCGACTTTTTAGATGATCAGGCAATATGCTGACTACTTCTGCTGTTGTTAGACCCACTGAGCCACCTAGAAGACGGACACAATCACCTCTACGTCGTAAAATGATCAGAAGTTTCCATGGAAATGGACAGATGCGAATATCGATGGGCAACTGTGAAAGTCTGTTCGTTCGAATATGTCTCAAAAAAATTTGTCTTCGGTCACAATCTAATGTCAGTGCAACAGTATCACCGGCCCGAATAATTCGATCTTTTCCCACGCGTTCCTCTATACCACTGACTACGGGAAAATCAAAATTTGACCAACCATTCGTCGATGGAGATGCGCTCATATGTTCGATCATCGGTTGAGATGCAGCAGAAATACCAAAAAACGGTGCATTGTAGAATTTTTCCGTAATGCGAAAGCGAATATGATGCACTCCAGTTGAATATGTATTCGTACCACACACACTGGCATCACCAATCCAAGGACCACTATATGTAGCAACATGATCATTTTCAGATAAATTAATTGCGCCGAAAATTTCTCCAAATGTTTCCCGTTCCAAAGTCGGTGATTCTTCAGAATTGTTCAAACTTCGTTCCGAAAAAGAATAGGTAAAATTAGTACTACATGATGAGTTGAAACTTGAACGATCGATAATTCTAATCAAATGAATTGCTTGTGTGTCATCATAATCGAGATATTCTATAACGGGTCGTTGCTTGAGTTTTTCATTGAATTCTGCCAATTGTGAACTCCATCGTTTCAAATCAATTTCAGTATAATCTTGTAGTTTTCGTCTTGTTTGAAGTTCATCCATCATCTTCTGAAATGGAATTTCGAGTTCATTTTTTGTTCGTTCAATCCATGGTCTTAAATCAGTCCGAGCCGTTTGAGCAGCCAGTCGAATTTTTTCTATCGATTCTTTTTCCCATCGATCAATATTGGATAGAAGTTGTTGAGCGAATTTCTCGGATTTTGAATCATCGCGTAATCGATCACATTTAGTAACAAGACTATTCATATCTTTGGTAATTTTTTCCTGATGTCGATTGACATGTCTTGCACAAAATGGTTGTTGACATCCACGACAAATAAAGGCTTCGGATAGTTTCAAACATGTCGTACAAATTTCTCTCTTAAAAACCGATTTCATTGTTCCTAAAAAATAGCCAAACCAAATATCATACTTGCATGAAAATAGAAAGAAAAATACATTCAAGCGGAATGTCACTGAATTCTATTAAAAGATTCCGCTTGTAATTTTTTCCATTTCAATCGAAGCCGTTCGTGATTATAAAAAGATTTTTTCTTTTGCTGACGATAGCAATGCTTAACGTGATTCACCTCTATCGTATCCTGAGATTGATTAAAAAAACTGGTTGATGATCAAAAGAGCATCGATAAAATAAATGAGAAAGAAGGTCTTTTTTTTGGTTTCTCCGCTGCTGATTAATAAACAATGAATCGATGGCAACAAACAAAACTCAATTCTTGCTCATGGAATAGATGAAAATAGAATTTCGTCCTCTTTCAAGTCTTCATATAAGATATAGTCATTTTTTATACAGCCCATGAAAAACAAATTACATAACATAAGATTTCAGTGTCAAAGTTTAGAAAAAAATAAGGTCATTTTTCAGTTTATACACATTTGTTTTTAGTCCAATTTAATGTGTTTTTCTCGGAAAAAAACAAGTTACTTTACAAAACAACTTAAATGAATATATGGATTCAAATATGTATCGCTAAAATAGAACTGTTCTCAAGATGGACGTATGATTATTGTACAGCAGAATATATAAGGAAAGAAAGAAATAATTGTATAACAAGCACAACAAGCGTGAATGAACGAGACAAATCGGAAAAAGTTATAAACAACATGATGCTAAAGCCAGAGATGTGCTAAATTATCCCATGAAACAAGTAGTCATACAGTACTTTTTTCAATTCTTAACGGAATTTCTAGTGAACCGTAGTTGGAGCATTACATATGTCATGTTTTTTATTTAGTAAGAAAGAGGATTTTTGAGGAGAAAAAAGGAGTGCATGCTTGTTTAACACTATCACAATACTTTACTCAAATTTTTATCCAGCTTCTATTTTTTTCATTACTCACTTCTTCTATAGACCGTCGAGGAATGTTAGTTGCTTTGTTCTCAATAAAAGCTCGAATATTTTTATAACCTATTCATGCAAAGAGGGATACACTTTAATGTGCATTGTTTTTCGTTCTCCCCAAACACAACTTATAACTAATACCAAAAATAGCCGTCTTTCATTTTTCTTGTCCTATGTTTTTTTTTTGTTTCTTTATATTTATTACGATGTGCTCTTACTTCAACAATCAAATTTATGCATTGTCAAAATATTCATCTACTTTTCTTTTCTTCTTATGTCGAAAACACTGACATGCAATATTTTGATTCTATCAATATTTTTGCAGAAATAGTTGCTTTTCTTTAGTTGTAAATCAAATTGTTTCTTTGGCTTAATCTCAGTCGTTTGTTTTTTTACCTTCAAAAATATCTATTGAATACGAGATGCACATTGAAATGAATGATAGTCATATGTAAATATCTAAAAAATGTTGAGTTTCAAGCAAAAAAATTAAGTTGCAGTAATACAAAAATTTATCTAGTAAAAATACTTTACATTTCAATTTGCATCTTTAGTTTGAAATATTGAACCTTATATACCTAAGTGAGAGTCTGACGAATTGAAGCAAACTAACAAGAGTATTTACTTAAGTTTCTATCTCAGAATCATCTTTCAATTATCTATTTCCGCTGAAATCTATACTGTGGTTGCAATGATGATTATTTGGAATGTTCCAAGTCACGTTTTAGGAGATAATGTAGTCAATGTTGCAAACATCGAAGTATAGTTAGCATACTCAAGTAGCCCACTAAAGTCTAACAAAATGTTAAGTATAAATTAATCGAATAAACATTTGTATGTCGACTACGATAAATCTCTTGTGAAGTCTTTAAAATTTTAAGCAAAGAAGTTATGAAGAAACGTGTAACGGTCTCTTAATCATTCGATTGCGAACAAGCTAAGATATGCAGGTATGTTCAATCGCTTGAGAGAAATTGCATAAAAAAATGCGAGCTTGTAATGGTGAATTCATTCAATTTATCAAAAGTGAATGATGGAAATAGTTAATCTTTTCTAATACGAATACTGAAACATGTTTGATAGCTTCAGCTCTTCGATAGGACAAACGAGGAAAATCTTGTTGACCACCAGTAAAGTGATCATTCCGCTTCGAAAAGGTTGATTCAAATACATAAGCAGCTCGAACAAGATCTGCACTAGTCAGTCAGATGTTATTCACTGATTCGCAATGAATTTTGATATCTGGCAGAATAAACGCTGACAGAAATTTTCTCAATTTATCTGCAGTTAATGATTAAACAAGACAATTCCGTGAGGAATAATCCTAATCTCATTTCTGGACATTCTCACATTTTTCTTGTTAACGTCTTATAAGATCTTAAGCTGATAAACTTTCATAAAACTTCCTAACAACAGTAATTAATCAAGAGATATCCAAGATTCGATGTAAGATCTTACTAAGATTTTGATAATGATTTATCTGGCATAAACATTGATAAAGTCTTAGAAATCTTATCTCGGATGTGGATGCTAGCCTTTTCTACAGCAACGCATACACCCTGAAATTAAACGCTTCAAATTAAGATAGCTTTCGCTTATTTTTCTAATATTCTTTGACGCTGGCATAAGCCTAGATATTCAAAAAGCGTGAAAATTTGTTCAAATGAGTCTTCTATTGTATTTCATTTATTTTCATAATTTTTAGTTGAAAAGATTTTTAAAAACCTAGAAATAATGTAGACTGCAGTATTTCAAGGTTTTTTAACTCGAAACCTTGAAAACTTATCATCTTTTGATTTATATATATGAATAAAAATTTCAATTTCGAGAGAAATTAGTTAATGAATGGATGTCTTCTATTGTGCAGAGAGATTTATGTTTCATGAATGAAATTCGTCAGTTGAGAGTAGAAAAAACAGAATCAATGAAACCTATATATACAGACGTAGAAGAAACACAACATGACGAAGAAGGGAAAAGAGCAACTGTAACGACTAGCAGGATGTTGACATTTTTTATCGTCATAGTTTCAAAGCATGCTATTGAGCCTATAAAAAATTCAGTACGATCTGGTTGTTGATGATTTACGAATCAGCCAATAATACATATAAGATTTATTGCATTTTGTGTTTTCATTAAATTTCGAATCTAGCGTACTATCATCAAATTGTACAAATGCAACATTTCAATGAGATGGGACTACTTATTACCAGCGCAATACACCTAGATTGATCGATCAGGGCATCATATATGTTAAATGGATAATTTTTGTTCTAGTTGTTGTTAATCCTTTCAATACAGTTTAGCACTGGCGATTCTTTACAACTGGACTCCAGCTTGAAGTTTTATGCAAATTTTGCATGAATTCTTTGACAAGTTCCAGCTAGAACACTTAGTAAAGTAGGTTTTCTCCAGGACAAAATCAGCTGAATAGATACATCTCTAAAGTTTCATAGATCAGTCTATTAGGAATATTGTTTAGGAACGAAAACTGCAAGTTGACGGATAGGACGGCGATAACTTTTGATTTTTACTCTCTCTCTCTATATATATATATACTTTTGTTGGGGAAAATTAGTTGTATCGATATACTTTAATCTTAGTTAGATTGAAGTTCAATGCTGCAAAATTGAACAAAATTAATCATGTTTCAAATATTGAGAAGTAGTAAAATCGTCTCTCACTCCACGCAATGCTGTAAATTTGTTTGATCGTTTTTTCCCCTATTGCCTTAGTAGAATATAGTAGATGAAGGTTAAACCACGTTGATGATGACTAACAAAATTTATGATTTCTCTTGATGACTTTTAAGTTTTAACATGATTTGCATTCTCGATTATACTTGCGCGATTCTACATTGTGCTCACAAACAAAAAGTATTGTTGGCAAAGAAACTCGTTGATGTTTACAATTCACCAATGCCACAGAGAAATTCTGAATTGAATAGACTATAGGTTTTGTCTTGAGATTTTTTTTTTATAAAACAACAGAGAAAAAATAGACAGCCTATATGTCTGTATTATTGGATTTCATGCATAGCTTGAATAGTTTTCCATGCCTGTCGTGATGAAATCTTGTTCCACCATTGCTTCACATGTGGTCGAGATTCGAACAGTTCACCTTCACCACATTTTGCAAGCATTGAACCCAATGGCAAATGGAATAAATCAGCAAGAGTAAACGTCTAGTTAATCAAAAGCAAAAATTGTTTTTAGGACACTATTTACTATAGAAGTGTTTCGCTTACATTTCCGCCCAGATATGATTGTGTAGATAAAATTTGTTCGTAAACATCCAAATTTTCAGCTAAATCTTGTCGTTGTCCTGCTACTTTATTCATATCTGGCTCACCGCCTCGCATTCTAGCCAGTAGAATATGGGTAGAAAGAATTTTAACAGAAGATCTAATTATCCTACTTTTTGTATACTCGTTCGCCGACAATAGTACTAGCATATGGATCAAAATAACTCAATTCAATTGATGCAGCTTGTTCAAAAAGGCCTTCAACTTGTGCATTGCTTTTTGGAATCAATTCAGTACCTTTGCCTTTGTATTTCTTTTCTAAATACCGACAAATTGCGCGGGATTCTAAATGAAAATAAAATTTCAATTAATAGTATTCATTTGAATCTGCAAGTTTCTTTTCTAAATTGTATGAACTAACCATATATTGTGAAACCATCGGCATCATCAAGTGCTGGAACGCCACCAAATGGTTGTTTTTCCAAATAGGAACGACTCTATTTAATGCATATGCAAACAAATGAGACAAATATGACTTATTTCCTACCTGATTTTCACCAGTCATTATATTGACAACTTTCAATTCATACTTGAGACCTTTTTCTATCAACGTAGCCAATACACGTTGAGTAGCAACCGATTCTATCATGCCATATACAACGATTGTGCCTTTTGTATTGCATGACGGCTATAATCAATCGAATATTTCATATATTAATCCCAAAATCAATCGTTTCTGCAATACTTACTTGTATATTGCTCGTTCTGTGTTTTTTTTGCTCTGAAGAAACGCTTGATGAACAACCCATTGTGAGACATCAATAAAAAATTAAAGCACACATATATATGCAGATGAATGTGTGTTTAAGCATGAATGGCAACAGTCGTGAAAAAAATGCTCTGTCATCCTTGTGTATGTGTGTTTCGATGCTCGGAACGAGCTTGATTATGGTCAATCGACATTGGGAAGAAAAACAGAAGAAGAAAAATACTGCATCGTCATTGTTACGCCAACGTTACAAAATTCATGACAGCAAAAAAAAAATAATAGGCAGCCGCCGACAGAATCAACATAGAGAGTGGGAGTGAAGGAATTTTTTTTTAGTTCAAATTTTATATGTCCTCCGATGAGTCAAAAAGAAATTTTATATGTTATAGTCCGAAAGACAATACCAAATTTGTCGGATTATTAATCATCTCAGTGAGAAATTCTGCATAAAAAAAATGGTAAAACTTTTTGTTGCATTGCGTAAGATTGTTTAAGAGCAGTGAATTATAAATCGATCGTTTTACATTCCCATCTCCCACGATTGACATCGATTTCTGGCATTGCATTACAAGTGAACGTGATGTGGTTTCACAAAAGATACTAAAGCATTCCTGGATAGTCGATTACTACATTGGCGTATAGAATGATTTGAATTACTCATTTCGTTTCCTTGTAACTCGATTCCTGAGCATACAACTAAGAATGAAACACATTTAAATGAGTTTGGTAAAACCTTGAATCAGTAATGAGACACAGCTATTAAAATAAATTTCTTACAAAGAACAATTCTGTGGTTGACCTTGTTTTGTAATCACATGTGGGCCTTGGTTTTTGGTGTTACATATACAAGTCAAATAAGAACCTGATGAACTTTCACAATTTTTTAGGCTTTTTAAACAAGTTAAAGCTTTGAAAAACAATATTTGATACACATAGTTCTTCAACTGAATGTCTATTGCCATTTATATTGTTCTATTCAATAAAATATCTTTCATTAAATTCAACTAGCATTCGCTGAAGTATTTTGAATGCATCAATCACAAATCTACGTTATAACACGACATATATATATATACGTTTTATCATAGCCGATGAGACATTTTGAAATTATAGAGAGCTTCTTCAATGATAAATGGTGAAAGACGCATGTTTCTCACTGAAGCTAAACTGACGTTTGAATTTTTCTATTTTGCGTTCAGTTTGACTTCGTGTCTAATGTCAAATTGAAATATGCATTTGAACACATTACTGTTGAAAAAAATATAAATCTATGTTTCATTTTCACTGACCATTGTCTTACAATAGGTTTTCTTTGTCATTCAGAATCTAGCATGGAATTGATGAAATCTATTATTTGAGTTGATAAGAGAAAAACAACAAAATAGTAATAAAAATAATGAAATACAATCGTTCACAATTTTTGGCAAAACTCGTTTTGCAGAGCTTAGGGATCGATAGATTCATTTTCAGTTGAACGAATGTGGATAGTGTGCAAGATTAGTTGTCCATTAAACAAACTTACAGTAGATCCTCTCTGTTTTCAACATTATGGGGACCATAAAAAAAAACGTTCACTAAACGGAAGTGTTTAATTTAAAGAGTTGACCGATGATTTGCTATGAAATGCAGCAGATCTTCCAGGATATTTGCATCTATATTAGTTTTAGATAAAAGTCCAGTGATTTGTTCTCTTTTACTCATCCATTTTCGTCTGAATGATATGAATTTGAAAGTCCTTTCAATTACAACAAAAGCTTTATTTTCTTTAAAAACTTTTTAATAGTCTTTACCTGTGTGCTTTTGAATTAATATGAATATCAATCAGTTTTGATTTTAATTCAATAATAAATTCCATCTTTTGCTTGAAAACTAAGCTCGTATCGTGATGTCATTATTTTCTTCATACGCACAATAGTGCATTCATTGATAAAGTGTGCATAGTCATAGTACACATGAGAGAAGTAATATACAGCTAGAAGAGGTCTTAAAAACAATGCACGTGCATTTATATTAGAGAGGTTGTGATAGTTAGAGGCATCATAAAAAGTGTTCACTAGTAGAACATTTACTGTCTTGTGATCTTCAGTAGAATTATGTCTCTAGAAACAAATGTTGACGGTAATATCTTTTATTAGTAGAAATCTTGCAGCAGTGGTTGGTATAATCCATTTTATGTTCTGATTTATCGATAGTTTTTTTGTCGTTTGCTGTAGCAATGCGAAGTGTGGATGTGAGTGGGTATGGGTGTCTCTGGAATATGGATGGGAATCGTACCTTCGACAACTAACTCAATCCCACACAACATTCACCAACCTACACCCACACTCACACCCCACACCCTGGAATTTGCTAAGCATGTCAGGTTGTCAAGTTTTTCTAGATCATTTTTAGGAGAATAGAAAACAAAATTTATTATAGACAGTAATATATAAAACCTCGCTGGAAAATAAAAACAAAAAGTATTTGACTAAGTGTAAAGTTTAACAATTCCAAACTTTTGGGCAAAAATAAAACTCCCTGATTGATGGTAGGAATGTTTTACTTATAGTCATTGTATAATCGATGCAATTTCTTTTCGAAATATAAAAGATTTTTCTAGAACAGCACGATTAGTACGTAGTAATTTAATAATGTTTTTATATAGGGGAATCGTGTTCTACACAAAATTTAAAAACTATTGAATTTATTAGAATTCAGAATATGACACATAGGAAATACTTAAATTTCAAGAGCACATATACAGGCCAATCAAACAGAGATATCATTACCTTCATTTTCGACAGAGATAATATATGGTATCTCGATAATGTGTCGATTCATGATATAATAAATAACATCGAATTGATTAAAGATGGGGATTTTGAAAGTGGTACGCTTAGTGCATATTGCATGTGTGATGGAAGCTTTTCAGCAGCCAAACTGAGCGTTTTTTATGTATATTCAGGTCACTTTGCATACGAAGCTGATACTATCTTCTCAGCCGTCACATTATCTCAAACAATCAATACAATTCAAGAATGTAATTACAATGTGAGTTTCTGGCTGAAAAACACCTTTGAAAACACCGATCATGTGTCCGTATATATGAGTACGGTATACAATATACATAAACCATCAGCACAGTTCATACTAACAATATTAATTTTTATTTGTCTATTTTATCCTATAAAAGCTTGTTAGCGCAACTCCAAAGGAGCTGAAATGTGGAACTCACATATTTTCCATGAGCTAGAATACTCAACAAAAATGTAAAACTACTTGCTCAGTGTCTGTAATGGGAAGAAGGAAGGGTGACGGGGGACTTCGACTTAAAACTTACACTCACTATTTTCTTCGAAAATATATATGAGTTCCACAAAACATATTCCAGCTTGAATAGTATTTAAAGGATAGAATTATAAATTCAACGTTGTATTATTCGATTTTGAACTTGTTTAAATGAATAAAGAGTTTTACTTGAAAACAAATAATTACGTAGGATTAATGTCAGAAAAGAATCAAATATCCCACTGTTAATACAAGAAAAAAAACATCTCAGCACATTTCCTACAGAATTGAAATATACAAATACGATAGACTCTCTTCAAATTTTCTAACAGCTTCCTTTGATATTGATCAAAATTCGTAACAACAATTCACGGAGTCAACCGTTGTAAATCACTGTTATTACCATAAATATGATTTAACGCTTATTAACAACTGTGTTTCGCGAATGGAACAATGTTTCTTGAAAATCCTACAGCTTGAACTTTCATCCTTTCGAAGCATCGTCAGAATTTTTGCAAGCGCAATTAAATAACCTATTCGTGCCGGAAAAAATGTTACTGCTAGATACTGTATTGAAAAATGCATAACTATCGCATGAAGGTTAATGAGTATATTTCTCCTATAATGTTTCGAGTTCGGACACTTCTCTTACCTTCTAATATGTCTATGTACGAAAGTATAGTTCAGCAAGTGCTTAACCAAACAAAAAAATTGTAGAAGTTACCACTACTCGACATTAGAATCTCTACTGTCAAAATTTGCTTCTGATAAGGAAGATATCGCTAGCATTTATATTATCTATTGATGGCAAACTTTATTAGCTGTCCCTAAGAGAAGAGTTCTCGGAATTCTGAAAAACCATGTTCCATAGATTTTTTTCTCTCAAAGAATATTAAATATGTATTTGAAAAGAAAATCTACGACAAATGTGAGATTGCAACTGCAGAACTCATCTTGTACTGCATAAAATATACATCAAAAACCATCTACTGCTCGTTTGGACGAATTAGGATATTGGAGAAACTGCTTATTGGTGATTAAATTTTGGACACTAAGAAATTATAATTTTTGCAATCAAACAAAGCACAAAAACAAACTGAAATTTTCCGAAACAAAATTAGATCATGTTTTTTCCAGAAACTTTTGAATCAATAATCAGAGTATTACAAAATTCGTTGTGAATCTAATTTTTAACAGTATATTACACATCTGTTTAAAGTATCAGTACACATGCACTCCGATAAAAGTTATGCCGATATTGTTGTTTCTTTCAGCTCCTTTTGTGTTGAATAAAAAAAAAACATCATTAAATCCAGTGTTCAAATGTACACTAGTGAAGTGGAGTAAAATGAGACCCTGCGCGAACAGAATTTTTATATTTTAATTTGAGGAAGATGATAACAATATAGATCATGGGAGAAAAAGATAATATCAATGTGCATATGGAAACTAGTTCTCCAACAAGGCGTACACTAGTGTCGCAATATGCATGTTCCGATTTGTACGTAGGCATGTATGAAAGAACCGGATCATGAACCTAGAATGTAAAAGAGCTACAGTTGTCTTTGAAACAAAGTAAATGTAACAAACTCAACTGGAAACATATAGACTATTCCGAAGTATCCAAAAAGCAATGATATCACCACAAGAGCCAGACAACATATGGCACCACTTCGATGTTGATAATACGTGGCACGTGCGATGGTCTATTTCAAGGTAACAAGATAGGTATGTCATTATGAGAAGTACAAAATATTCGGAAAAAATAATCATTTTCGTATGAAGATGAATAAGTTCTTTTTTCTATTGTTTGAAGTCAAAATATGTTTCTTGATGTTATTTATGTGAAAGAATATTCATCTTTGAATTGATAATCGTATAGGATTATCGAATCATTATTTTCTAACGCGAAATCCTTTATTTTCAGATGTTAGTATTAGATATTTTATGCAAAGGGAATGTTGAAATTTACGGATAAACTAAGTTTAACATAAACTATCATTGAATAAAGTGAAACGAGAATCAGATTTCAACGTTTATTACGTCACATAATAAATATTCTTGATAGGAATATGATAGAGAGCTACGGCGAAGATGAGAATGCCTCGGTTTTTATACTAATGGTTTTTGAAGTAGGCTTTTTCAGAACTTCTAATCAATTTTTTTGAAAATAACATCATTTACTTTAATGAGTCGCTACAATAAATTTTTAATCATCCTACATTTATTAAAGCTGGTAGTGGAAGCTTTGAACAACACCATTAAATCCACAGTTTCGTCTTTAATCCTTTAAAATTTATTTGTATACTGTACGAAACTCTTATTGGGTTTTTTGACAAGTTGCATGGAAAAAAACTCAATCTTTGCTTTATAATTTTTGATAGTAAATTATTTTTCCACCGTCGTTGGTATCTGTTTTTTGAGAAAACTAATTAGAAATCTTTCAAATGAAATCACTCTTTTTTTTATCTTTTTGAAATAGTCAAAATTGCAGGTGCTTATCTCGTTCTCATTCGAAGTTATCAAACAAAATGACCCACGCGTTTTCTATTTGAAATGGGTATTTGATTTTTAAAAAAGGCTTTTGTGATGAATAATATTAATCCAAGGCAAGTAATAGAAATAATAATCAAACTGCATACGGCTAGAATATAAACTAATTGATAGAAACTAGTATCAAATTTTGAGAATCAGAGTACCTAAAACACAGTAAAGGGCTATGTACAATAGGAATCATGATACCACATAAGATAATATCTAAAAATCCAAAATTGATGATTAGTTTTGGTAAGGCTTCAGTAGCCGGACATGATTTTTGTTTGAAGTGACCAAATATAATAAATAGAAAACCAAAACCGATCATTAACAGAAGAATCGCTATTGTAACCAATGCCCGATAAAATGATCTGATATGCGCTGCGACAATTGCGACACCCGAAGTAGTGAGTCGTCCTTCATTATCTCGTTGATTGAATAATGTAGTCATACTGGGAATTTGTTCACCTCCACATATAATCGAAAAAGGTATTCCTACTTTAGTCATCTACAAAAAAGTTCATTCCACAACGAACATTTTCTATACATCAAACTCAATGTCTTGTAACAAATGACACTAGTAAAATCTGTATTTTAAAAGGAGTATTTTCAACAAGGAAGTATTTGTTTGAAAGAAGCGAGTGAAGAAACATCGAATTCCTGAGTGTCATGCTCATTCACTCATTATTTATACGTCATTTAAACAAATGTGATTTTTCATTATGCAACTCAAAAAAAAAATAACATTGACAATGTAAATTTTTTCCTTCTTCTTCAGGCAGGTTAATTTATTAAAACCGTACATAGTAACATAACTGTTTGCAAGTAAAACACAACAGTACGGAATGAGAAATTTTTTTTTTCATTTCTATAACGGTTGATTACAGCTAGATAATATTTCAATGAGTGTTTATAAAAACAGTGAAAGAAAAGAAAAATAAAAATTCATTAATCATGATGTCATAGAGGGAAGAGAAGAACAACGATGCAATAGTCAGTTGTTTTTTCTTTCGAAAAATGCCCATTTCTATACAGTTGCAGACGATTTGAATTTGAAAAGCAATGGCAAATATGGTCCTCCACATCCTTTCTATTGATTTTTCCAGTTCGTCAAAACATGATTCAATGTTATTTTCTAGAAATATTCAACTTGCCATAATTAGAGCCCGTCGGATTGGTCCCCAACACTATCTAGTCCTTGTCTGAAAATTGTAGATCCAATGAACTGTATTCATCGAAGAAACGTGTGACATACACTAGTCACCGAATATGAAAAACGAAGGGAAAGTATTGTGAATATTTGAGACGGCCATCCAGTTCTGATTAAACCTCTTCCCGCAAAAGAAGATCCTCTTTGGAAAAACAATACGGTGGACGTAATAGAAGACTTCCTGAATTAATGAGTATTTCGGAAAATTGGAGGTTTAATCAAGTTATTTATGTTCAAATATGCCTAGTTTTTCGGTTTTTGAACCAAAAATCTTAACAGACTAACGTTAATCTTATTGCTGGATTTTAAAAATCCTAAACACAATAGAACATTCGAGGGTGTGGGTGTGGGTGTGTGGGTGTGGGTGTGGGTGGGTGTGGGTGTGGGTGTGGGTGTGGGTGTGGGTGTGGGTGTGGGTGTGGGGGCGGGTCGGGGCGGCCGCGCCAGCGGGGGTGGCGCGGTGCGC